AGGTCAGTATCACTGTGACTTCCTTAGAAATTTTTAGCTTTATCATAATCTGTTTTTTGTAGGTTGGGCTGTGTCCTTAAGTAGACTCTGAAGAATAAGTATTTTAATATCATCCTCATGTATATGGTGAGTTCTAGGACAGCTTAGGATACATGAAACTCTGTCTCAAAAAAGAAAAGGGCTGGGAGATAGCTTCTCTTGCAGAGGACCTGGGTTTGGTTCCCAGCACCCACATGGTGACTAATAACAATCTGTAACTCCAGTTCCAAGGTATATGACACCCTCTTCTGGCCTCTGTGGGCATTACATGACATGGGTGCACTTACACACATGCAGACAAAATACTTATACACATAAAATAAAAATAATTTTAAAGAAGAAAAGAAAATCTATTCCCAAAGTATAGAATTTTCCAATAATGTCTGAAAAGCTTAAATTTTGTTTTAAATATGTACTACACATGGGCGAAGGTGATGGCTGAGACAGTAAAGCACTTACCATGCAAGCATGAGAACCTGAGTTCAAGTCCCCAGAACACATGTTTAAAAAGTGGGGTATGGTAATGTGTGTCTGTAATCCCAGTGCTCCTACAGTGAGATGGAAGGCAGAGACAGGAGAATCTTCGAAGCGTGGCCAGTCAGCCTGATATATACAATGGTGAACAGCAAAGAGACCCTCTCAAACAAGGTGGAAGGCAGGGACCAACACCTTAGGTTGTCCTCTGACATTTGCCTAGTGGCATGTGCACATTTGTACACACACACACACACACACACACACACACACACAGAAATGTGCACAAACACACATACACCATAAACACACAAATAAAAATATTTAATCCACCTAAGATCAGTTACTATGACATGAGACTTTTGATTCTTTTACTATTTTGTAATTTTTTATGTGTATGAGTGTATTGCCCACATGTATGTAAATGTACCTGTGTTGTGCAATGCCCGAAGAGGTCAGAAGAGGTGGTCAGATCCCTTGGAACTGGAGTTAAGGATAGCTATTAGGCAACAACCCACCATGTAGGTGCTGGGAATCGAACCTGGGTCTTCTACAAGAGCAGACAGTGCTCTTAACTGCTGAGCCATCTCTACAGCCAGACTTTAGATTTTTTAAAAATTATATGGGGATGTCAGGCGTGGTGGTGCACGCCTTTAATCCCAGTGCTGGGGAGGCAGAGGCAGGTGGATCTCTGTGAGTTGAAGGTCAGCCTGGTCGACATAGTGAGTTCCAGGTCAGCTGGGCTACAGGGAGACCCTGTCTCAAAAAACTAAATAATAATAATAATAATAATAATAATAAAAAAAAAAAATATGGGTATGGAACAGGTCTAAACTCTAGCACTCAGGTGGGGGCAGGAAAAGAGTAAGTCTGACACTATCCTAGGCTATATAAGCAATAAATAAGACCTTACCTAAAGAAAATAAAGGCTAGAGATATAGCAAAGTGCTGGAGTCATTGCCAAGCATAGGCAAGACCATGGATTTAATGCCTACCATTAAAAAAGTTTAAAGGCCTCAAAATATGAGGTGAGAATTCAGACTTATTCCTCCCCATGGACATCTCTAGTAAAAGGGAAAGATTCACACTCTGAAGAGAAACAAGGTGTCATTTCTTTTTGTTTTTTTGTTTTTTTTGGAGATAGGGTCTTCCTATGTAGGCCAGGCTAGCCTCCAACTTTTTTCTTTGGTTGTTGTCTTTTTAAGCTTTTCTAGGTGTATATATACAGGAAATTGCATGCTAGACATATTCTCCTTCTATTCCAGTGCCCCCTTTTTCTCACCCTTCCCCTCTCCTGTTAGTCCCTTTATCTCCACCCCCCCATCATTTTACTCTTACCTTCACATTATATATACATATGTATGCTTTATGTGTCTATATAAATTCTAGGAACCACTAGCAAGAGAAAACATATGCTGTTTGTTCCTCTGAGATTGACTTAATTCACTTAATGATTGTCCTCAGTTGCATCTATTTTCCTGTAAATGGCATCACTTCATTCTTCTTTATGACTGAAAAATGCATTGTATACACACACCACATTTTCCTCCTTCATTCTTTCATTGTTGGACACCTAGGTTGGTACCATAATTTAGCTATTATGGATGGTGCTGTATTAATATACTGATGTGCAAGTACGTGTCTCTGGATGTGTTGACTTGGAGTCTTTTGGGTAAATCCACAGAAGTGGTACAGCTGGGTCATGTGAAAGAGCTATTGTTTTTTTAAGAGCCCTTCATACTGATTACCATAGTGGCTTGACTAGTCTACATTCCCACCAGCAGTGTACATGAAGATTCTATTTTCCCACCAGCATTTGTAGTTGTTTTCTTAATGACTGTCATGTTGAATGGGGTGAGATGGAATCTCAACGCAGTTTCTGGTTTCTCTGAAGCCTAGTGAAGTTGAACATGTTTATCTGCCATTTGTATTTCATCTGTTGTGGACTGTCTGGTCATTTCATTAACCCACTTATTGAGGTGTTAAGAGTTCTTGTTTAGTTCTCCGAGTTCTTCGTATATTCTAAGTGTTAATCCTCTGTCAGATGAATAGCTTCCAAAGATTTTCCTCCCATTCCGTAGGCTGTCTCTTTACTTGTTTCCTTTGCTGTACAGAGGCTTTTTGTCAATTGTTATTCTTGTTTTCTGATGAACCGGCGTCCTATTGAGAAAGTCCCTTGTTCATATCTAAATCTTGAAGAGATTTCTGTACTCTTTCCTCTAACAGTTTTGGAATTTCAGGTCTTGCTTTAAGGGCTTTGATCCACCTGAAGGTGATTTTTGTGCAGGGTGATATATAAGAATCTAGTTTCATGCCTCTACATCTGGAGATCCAGTTCCCCCACACCACTTGTTGAACAGTCTGTCTTTTCTCCAATATGCTTTTATGGCATCTTTATCAAATATCAGATGGTTGTGTCTGTGTGGGTTTATATGTGGGTCTGTGAGTCTATTCCTACTTTTTCTCAGTACATGATGTTTTGTCACTATGGCTCTGTAGTCTAACTTGAAATCAGGTATGGCAAAACCCTGAGCATTATTCTTTTGTACAGGATTGCTTTGGCAATCCAGGGTCTTTCCTGCTTCCATGTGAATTTCAAGATTTTTTTTTTCTTTTTCTGTGAAGAATGGCACCAGAGTTTTGATTGGGATGACACTGAATCTGTAGATCGCTTTCATTTTTTCACATTATGCATTCTTCCTACCCATGAGCATGGGAGTTTTTTCCCCCATTTTCCAGGACTTCAATTTCTTTCTTCAGTTTTTTAAAGTTTTCTTTGTAAAGATCTTTCACTTCCTGGGGGGGGGGGGCAGTAATGAATGGGACTATATCCTTGATTTCCTTCTTAGCACGTTTATCATTAGGCTTCCAACTTTTGATTGTCCTGCTTCTGTCTCCTGAGGGGTGGGATCACAATCCTATACCATCATGCTCAGTTGCCAAAATACATTTTAAAAAAATATTTTATTTTTATTAGTTCATGCTGTAAGTGTATTGCCTGCATGTATGTAAGTTCACCCCGTATCATGAAATGCCCTCAGAGCTCAGAAGAGCTTCCCCTGGAACTAGAGTTGTGGATAGTTAGCTGCCTGAACCCAGGTCCTCTTCAAGAATAGCCAGTGCTCATAACCACTGAACCATCTCTCCAGCCCCCAAAATAAAATGTTTATGTAACCATCTGACCAGCGTTTTTTAAAGTCTGCCTATCTCTATTAGTCTTTTAGTCTGTCGAATCGTAAGTTTGGGTGTGGGGACATAGCCCACTTAATTCAGTGCTTGCCGAGGAAGCACCAAGGCTTTGATTTGACCCTAAGCATTACATGAAAAATCAAAATTGTACAAATTTATGGACTTATTTCTAGTTCTCCATTTTATTATTACCTGCATATTTGGAGGATATTGTTATTGTTGCTTTCTCTTAAATTTTTTTAAATTACACTTGATTTACTTTGTTGTGGTGTGTTTATGTGTGCCAGGGTACAGAGGACAACTTGCAGAAGTCAGTTTTCCTCCTTCCACTGTGGGTGCTAGGGACTGAACTCAGGTTGTCGGGCTTGGTGGCAAGTGCCTTTACTCTCTGAGCTAGTTTGCCATCCTTTTTGTCCTCTTTTTAAATGAAAACAATTTTGTTTTTGTCTTTTTGGTTTTGAGTCTGAGCCTTTAATGAGTTCAGCAGCTTGTCAGCCCAACAATTTAGTTTTTGAGACAGGGTCTTATATAACCTAGGCTGGCAAGGTTGCCATGGAACTCACTAGGTAGCTATGATGGCTTTGAACTACTGATCCTACTGCCCTAATCTCCCTATAACTAGAATTACATGCATGTGCCATCGAGGTCAGTTTATGTGGTGCTGGGGACCAAATCCAGGGCTTTGTGCATGCTACACAAGCATTCCCTCAACTGAGGCACAACCTCAGCCTTAGGGCTTCAGCAGCAGTTAGGGAGCTTAGGGCCTGCAGCCTTGGACTGGGTGGGGCTACATCACCAGTTTTAGTTGTGAGACCTCTTTGTACAGATGCTTCTTTTCCGGGGGGTGTGGGTCTCCAGTGTGCACACGGACACCCTGGGACTACCCTAGTCTTTGATTGTGTAAGTCAACCTAATCAATCCCTTTTTATAATTGTATATCAGCTATTGGGTCTTTTCCTCAGAAAATTCTGACAGAGACATGCCCAGTAGCACAGATCCTAATCCCAGCCTCACAGTCGACTAAGGGAAAAGGATCCAAATTTGTTTCACTGTCAGATTGGACAACTTCTAAAGTAAACATTAAGCTGGGTGTGATGGTTCAAGCTTGTCTTTCGGGGGTATCCTTGGCTACATAGTGAGGCCAGCCTGAGTCACATGAGATTCCATCTCAAAACCCAAACCAACACCCCCCAATATTAGGAGTGAGAATGTTAATGATAGAGCATTTGGCCTAGAATGCACTAGATTCAAAACACACACAGAGCCTGAAAACTGGAACATTGGGCAAGAAAGCTCACCACGATGAGTCAGGGTTAGAGACACCGCGTGGGGCATCTGTGAATGTAGCTTCGGCACAGCACTGGAGTCGGCCTCCCTGAGGCAGTGATCCATGCTCCCGCGTCGCTGGAAGGAAGCTGGCCACGACGCGGTGGGCAGCTCCCCGTTTCCTAGGCGGTCGTCCTCGGGCTCCGGCTCAGTCTGCTGGAAGGCTGGCGCTGCGGTCACGCGGTCACGCGCAGTCACGAGGTTTAGCCCGCAGAGGATGGACAATGAGATTCGCGGTCCAGTTCCGGAACCCCAAATGCGGAAATCGCCTGCGATGGGGAAAGCCACCAGACCCGATAGGCTTCCCTAAGCCGGACGGCGATCACGTGGCCTGGAGCACTCAGAGCGTCTCCGCCTTCCACCTCACAGGGAGCAGGGCGTGTGGGCGGGGCCTGGGAGGCCGCCAAGGGCGAGAGCATGGTTCGTGGGCGGGGCGCCGGCGCTCTCTGCGGGCAGGGGCCGGACCGCGCTGTAGTGGGCGGAGCCTCAGGCGCTTCTTGGAGTGGGGGCGGGGCCCAGACGCGCGCGCCGGTCGGAGGCGGGGCATAGGGGCCGGGCCTCCGGTGCGCGCCGCGGGCGGAGGCGGGGCGTGGGGGCGGGGCCTCCGGTGTCCCTGGGCTGTCGGGGGCGGCGGCGGCGGGAGGCGGTGTACGCGCTGAGGGGCATATCGGCCATGACTGACGAGCTGCAGCAGGACGACGGGGCGGGAGCGGCGGACTGCCACGGATCGGTGAGCAACGGGCGAGGGAAGCGGGGTCCGTTCGGGCTCCGGGCGGAGAGGGGCGCGGTGGGCCAGGCGAGAGCGGCGCGAGCTGGCGGAGGCCCGGCGGGGCCTGCGGGCAGGGGCCGGCGGGCGGGCGGCTGGCACGGCTCTCCGGGCAGCTGCGGACTTGGTGAGGCTGGGGCGATGATGGAGAGTTTGCAGTCAGGGTCGGCGTGCGAGCTGAAGTTCGAGCGGGATCGGGCACTCCGGAACCCCACCGTGAAGGGCTGCACGGAGGTCGGCATCGGGGTCACCCCGAGAGAGTGCGCCGGGGCCCGACTGGGCACTTGCAAACTTCCTGAAGCACGGCGGTGGTGGCTTGCTTTGACTCCGAAATCAGTTTTATGGCAGCGGCTTCCCAGGGTCTCAAGCAGACTGAAGTTATCTCACTTAAAGCCGGCGTTTATCAACAAAGTGCCAAAGACCAGAAGCCCCACTCCACCTCCCCTCCTCCTTGTCCCGGCTTTTGGGTTTTCTTTCGTTTTTTTTTTTTTTTTAAACATAGATCAGCTTCCTCACTTACCGCATTGATCACTCTAGATTTTCAAGGAAGGAGAAGAAACGGCATGATGAATAAAAGGGACACCAATTAGGTTCCTAATATCTAAGAAGCTTGAAAAGCAAGCGTTACAAGGGTTTCTGGGCTAAGATGGCGAGAGTTAACCCTGGGAGAAAATCAAAAGGCTAATGTCTGAAGAAACCTGGGAGGTGGACAATTTAAGAATGTTTTCTTATGTTACTCTGCAATCTTCTAGCTTAACAGTACATCCGCATCCCTCTGGAACTGGACTTTTTAAAAGACAAGATAGGGTAATCTGTGCCAAGTAGTTCTGAGATACTGTGTTTGCAAGTGAGCAATGTTGTAAAATACTGAGAGTACAAGCCTGTCAGATACTACCAAGTGAGAAACTCTTTATGCCTTTTAAATTTAATTAATTAATCAGCTAATTAATTAGACGTGGTAGACATCAAGCCCGGGGCCTACCACGTGGTAGACAAGGACTTCTTTCCCAGAAGTTTGTATTCTTTTAATACACCCAGAACACTAGGACAGGATTTTTAAAATTCATGTAGGAAAAGACACCTCCAAGTCATAATGAAAGTAGGTGGATAGTGTTTCATGGCTTGATTTGGGATGGAAATTTCAGTGTTAGATGGTTACCAGGGTCTTTTGGAATTGGATGGAGTCAGGATTTTTCTGCTTGGTTTCAGAGATCAAGTCTATTTGTTTTTAGGATAGTGACTTAAAAAACAGGTGGGAAAAATTTTGGTTTCTGAGACAGTCATATTGATTTAGAGAAGAGACTATTTTAAGGGAGAGCAAGTCATATTTAAATTTGTTCCATGCTCTGTCATCGAGGACCATGTGCCTGTTAATCAGTGGCATCTTCATTTACCTCTGCCACAGAGTAGTGACCCCTATTTCAGTGCTCTGTATCTGAGAGTTTGTGTGTGAGGTGTCTGATGGGCATTGTGTATAAAGTCATAGCTATTTTGGGAAGGCTTAGCACTCCAGGGGCTGTGGCTGACTGCTGTACCCTGATTCCTGGCCACCTGCAGAGTGATGACATTTTCTATTCCTCCCAGTGATTTTTGCCCTAGGCTGACAGATGATAAGCGCAGAGTGTTTGATAACAGTTGCCTTTTTTGTTTTGGCTAGGACAGAATGCCTGAAGTTAGCAGGTTAGGTTGAAGGAACTTAACATGGGGAGCAGACTTTTTACATTTTAGAGGGAAAGTATTAATAACTTCTTCCTCTTGATAAGTCCATTTAGAATGGTTTCTTTTGAATTCTCTGAGGCATTTCCCTTTCCCTTAAAATAGTTTAATTTAGTTAGGGAAAGCTAGCCTCCCCCCACACTCAAGCTATTTAAAACCCACCATGCTTTCCCTTCTCCAATTGGTCATTTGTACAAAGCCAGACAAAACTATATATACTCTCCAGGATTTTAGTGAGAGAAAAATGAATGTAATGCTCAGAAGACTTGCTCTGGTGTGGCCTGGAATCTGAGTGGTCATTTTGTGATATCTCTAAATCCCCAGATGTGGAGTTAATGACAGCTTCCTGTATTTTAATCAGTTCCTGACTTAGATAAAAACCAGCAGGGAAAGTTTACTGTTAGTATAGGATAAGCAACTTGAAGTCAGTTTGGTCTTATAAATCTGTCCTTTTTGGCAGCAGTAAATGAGGATTCACAGTACACACACACACACCCTGAACCCACAGCCTTGTGCATTCTAGTCATGTGCTCTGCTGCTGAGCTGTAAGCCTTATTTTGCTGCCTCTTTATTTATTGACTCTTCATTTCTCTTCATGTTTTTGTTTTGGGGTTTTGGGAGTTTTTTTGTATTTTTAAAAGATTTTTGTTTTTAAGTTTTGTGTGTGTGTCTTTGTGTGGGTATGTGCACATGAGTACAGGTGTCCTAGGAGGCCAGAAGGGTTGGATCACCCCAGAACTGGAGTTATAGGTAGTTGTAAACCATCCAGTGTGCGTTTTGGTCCCTCTGCAAAAGCAATGTGACCTCTTAACCCTGAGGTATTTCCCCAGACCCAATTTTTTTTTTTTTAATTTCGTATTTTTTTCTGGCTTTTGTTTTGTTTTGTTTCATTTTGTTTTGTTGAGACAAGGTCTCCCTATAGCCCCAGCTGGCTTGGAATTCACAATGAAGACCAAGCTGGCCTTGATCTCACAGAGATCTGCTTGCCTCTGCCTCCTGAGTGCTGGGATTAAAGTTGTATACCACTTTGCCAAGCCACTGTTCTGTTTCTTGGGAATTTTTTAAAAAATTATTTACTGGGCCGGGCATGGTGGTACATGCCTTTAATCCCAGCACTCAGGAGGCAGA